CTTTCCCTAACCCCTTGCTACACTCACATCACCAAAAACCTGTAAGTTTCATCATGGGTGAGCTGACTGAGTTATCTATACCACTACTTTTGAGTCTAGGAAATTATCAGGGACTGCAGTCTAAATTGAACCTAGAGTTTACCAGAGTATGTGATTAATTTAAGGTTATTTCAAATCTATTACTATACCATGAGTCAAGTCAAGACTGTCAGGGCATTCTGGATCAGTTTAAGATTATTTACTCCTGGGGACAGCATATGGGGTAATGGTTACATCACTGGACTTACACATAGTCCACCATGGTTCAAGTCCCATACCTGGAGGCTTAAAATTCATGCTGGTCACATGTTCATACATTCCCAAGACCCCAAAAGGAAAGTGGAGGAGAAGGGGTTGCAGGATAGTCACATCCCCGAGGGGTAATTTCTCGCTTTCTATTTATTTGTCTCTGTCTCTCCAGCAAGCACACATGCACTCTTATAGCAAAAATCTCTAAAAAAAATTGTCAGATTGTTTACTCCTGTACCAATCTGAACACCATAACTTCCTAATTATTGAGAAATCAAATTAAAATTTAGAAGAGTGTCACACAAAAGTAGGGTTGTTTTCTGACCAAAGGAATGAGGTTCTCTAGAAGTTTTCTATGAGAAAAACCTGCTCATTCAAACATGATGTTATTTTCATTCAGAAATTCACAGTAGGTGGTTATACAAACAATTAAAGAGCTATTCCTAATTTTTGGTGGTGGTAGTCTACCAAGCACAAGTTTTTACTTTCTTCCCCATGGTAGTTCTATAATAAACATTTAGCTCATTATTTCATATGCTAAAAATATTTTATGATGTGTACATAAAGTATCAATAAAATCATTTAAATTCAGAATTAACAAATTAGAAAATAAATTCCATGGGAGTTAATCCCCTTTTTTGGTAGAATGACATAAAAAATAATACAGACTATTCTAGTTGAGTACTGTTAATAGTCATCTGTAATTGATAGAAATCCAATTTGAATCTTAATTGTCATGCTTTCAATAAGACGGTTTCAGTAACAATTTTGAAATGTGGCAATATTTCAATGTAAAACCATCATAGTGATTAGAAACAATACTTGAGAGACAAGAAGTAGAGGTCGGTAGATGATATGGCTGTCAAAGTGCTGGATTCCCACATGGCTGAGCATGGTTTGAGTCCCCAGACCTGGTGGCTTGCTTTCTCACTGCTCACCACCCCACACTGTTCAAACAAGAACTAGGCTCTCAGAAAATTTAAAACTTATGTCTTAACCCACCATTACTTATTGCCATGCAAGGTAAGAAAACTGGTATGCTGGCTACATTCTTTGGTAAATTCTTCAGGCTCAACAACAAAAAAGTAAGTAAAAGAGGAAAGGATCTGTTTTCTCTTTTCCCTATGAGATTCAGTATGTTGTCCTTCGTAGTTTACACATTTGAGAGGACATTCTAACAAGTATCACCAGCATTTTCACTTTAACACTATAGTAATGCAAAAAAAAAATCTAATTATTCTAACAGGAGTCTAATAATCCACAAAGGTACTAGAGACATTTTTCTAGGAAGCAATAAAGATTTAACTATGCTGACTGCCCAAATTGTCTAAATACAGTGGCTGAAGACTATATCCCACCCATGAATATAAACTATCCTTTCTAGAGACAGGTGCTGCCAAAAATTGCAGTACACAGACCAAAAAACTGCCTAATCATGTAGCACCTATGCATTTTGTATCCATGAGCTGAGGTGACACTTCGATGAGGCAGTTGCCTGGACATGAGAACCCCCATCAAACATTAACACAAACATGTTCAGTATATTCATACATTTTATGCAAAGCATATTTGGGCTTAAGAGAGGGAAAAAACTATATAGACAGGCTACCTGGCTCCATTAAAAAAAAACTATAGAGACAGGCTACCTGGTTCCATTAAAACTTAGGGTTTTCAATCTCGGAAAGTTGTCAGGTTATCTTAACCCTTAGCTATTGCTCTTTTCTCACATCTGACAATTTAATCTCTCACATTCTTACTCCAGGCCCCAACTACATCCCCACTCTGATTCTCAGAAGTTCTTATTGACCCTCTCCTCTCACCTCCAACTCCTTCCAGAAGAACAAGGACATCAAGAATATAAAAAGCAGTCTATGAGGCCAGTAGGTGGTGTAGTGGTTAAGGCACTAGACTCTTACATGGCTCACTATGGTTTGAGTCCCAGACCTGGCAGCTTGAAACTCATGCCAGGGTGCATGTGTGCATGCTCAAAATCCTGACAGGAGAATAGAGAAGGGATTTAGGTGTGGCCATTCCCCCTGTGGGGTGATTTCTTGCTTTCTGTCTATATCTCTCAGGTGAGCACACACACCCCATAACAAAAATTTCTTTAAAAAAAGTAAACAAAAAGAAACAGCCCACACACTTTTCCATTAGAAATAATCATCTTGTGAAACTTCATTGAAAATGATACTTACTTGAAATGGCTGGTTTTGAACTTGCTATCTCTCTAACAAAGATTGGCTCATCATCATCTTCATCCTGACTTTTTTTGTCTACTTTCTTCTGCCATGGTTCAAGATTTTCTTCTTCACATTCCATAAAGAGTTCTGCCATTTTTGGATTAGCTAATTTTTTTAAAAAATAAAATTTTATTTTTGAAAAGAAAAATACTTTATTCACAACATATACTATATAATTTGAGGTGTACATTGATAGCCCCTACAGAAATTATTAAATTGGTATTTCTAGTCAGTTACATGGTAATGAAAGTAAGAAATTCAAGGACACAGTCTCTAAGATCTAAATTAGCAAACCTTAGCTAGGTAATAGGTGACAGTATTTATTTATAGTAGCCAAGAAATTTTAGGAACAAATTTAATCAAAGTGAGTTTTGGTTACACAACCAGAATTGAGTCTAATCATTATCTAGGGGGAAAAAAACCACCTGTACTAGTAAAAGGAATATAAATTAAGAATAAGAGGCAACAGGTAGGAGATATACCAGGAAAATTGAACCAGATTCAGGGATCCTAAGGACACAGCAAAGCAGTGATTAGGTGCTAGACTGAAAATACATAATTAAGTGAAGCCTAGTTCATTCTAGGACAGATTAGACATTTTTCACACGAAAAAAGCAAGCAGAGAATACACAGTCAACTCAGTATCCATGGGAGATTTGTTCTTGGACCTCTACAGATACCAAAATCTGCAGATGACCTCAAATCCCTTAAGTAACATGGTATAGTATTTTCATATACCCAATATACACCCTCTCATACATATATATTTTTATTTTTCCCAGAGGGCACATGCACTGGCTGGAGAGACAAAAAGGGTAGAGAGAGAAAATGAGAAAGCAACCCCCCCATTGGGAATGTCACACCACAATCCCTTCTCTTCCGTTCTCCTCCTGGGATTCCGGGCATAAACACACACACACACATACCCTGGCGTGATTTTTAGGCTGCCAGGTCTAGGACTTGAACCACAGTCAGTCATGTGAGAAGGTTATCAGTATAAAAGTCATGCACACCAATATCAACTGCAGCAGCAATACTTACTTTTTGTTGGAAAACTGTCGTTATCCATCAGGTTGAGCTGTCACCTAAGTACCAACACATGATATCAATTTTATGAGTCACTAAAAGTAATACCAATTATTGAAACATGAAATTTGGGATTCATAAATCTTTGAGTCTAATTCCAATCTCCAACAAACTTACCGAGTGACTCCAGACAAGGTAGCAAGTTAGGTTTCTGCCCTATAAAATAAAGATATCTACTATTAGGGTAGATTTAAATTAAATGTACATATAGTTCATTTTTTTCTCTCACAAAAAGCTCATCGTTTGGCTTTAGTACATTTGATACATACATGTAACTCACTTTCTGTAATTGGTTCATTCCTACATGACTGCAAATGATGTAAATCAAATGCTGAATGTATTAAGCACTTACTGCTTGAGAAAAGCTGATTTTTTAAAGTCACCAGAGGATATGTGCAATCGTCAGAGAGAGAGAGATAGAAAGAGAGGAAAAGGGAAACAGCATCCCTTCGATGGGGCATGCTCGTCCTCCATCTCTGCCTCTCTGTTTCTCCCTCCTGTCAGGATATTGCGCATGCATACACACACACTCAGCATGATTTCAAATGTTCTGAGGCTGAGACTTGAACTGCAGTTGGCCATGTGGGATCCAGCTCCCTTAACCAGTAGGTCACAAGGCCGGCATGTTTGAATTTTTACAAGTCTTTAGTGAATTTTGTACTTTAATATGTCTGGCATGTTTGAATTTTTACTACAAGTCTTTAGTGAATTTTGTACTTTAATATATTTCTTATTTCTGAGATTTTGACTATTCAAATCTCTTTATTTGAATGGTTAGAGCATGTCCCTAAACTAGAATTAAAATAATGCACTTGTTAAGCAGATAAAATACATGATGATTTATTTATTTGTTCAACATTAGGGATCTACTGCTACAAAGAACACAGAATATTTTTTGAGTCACAACTGCACAGCTTGTAGGACTCATATGACACTTTTATTAAATAATCACATAAAATATCTAATGGCACAAACACCCAAAAGTAGTATGAAATGTACAAGTAGTCTATGTCAACAAGTTATATCCATACTTATGGCTACAGAAATAGCTTTTGAGGCCCACAGCAGCCACCAAGGATCCTTGACTGGTACACTCATAAACTCTTAAAAAGTCAGAAATCTTCAGATACCATCAGAACTTTAACTTCAGCCTAAAGTGCTATGCAATGAGATAGCCATTTGCCAGATATGGCAAATTTAAATAAAAGGAAAAATTCAGCTCCCTCAACCATTCTGACCCCATTTCAAGTACTCAAAAGCCACAAATAACTAGTGGCTACTGTATTGGATAGTGCAGCTACAGAACATTTCTATCAGATAATTTAAGCCTAAACAATTATTATATTCAGTTCTAGTTTAACCATACAGATAAGCAGACACACACACAAAAATGCCACAGATTCCTTCAAGGAAGGACTGGAGTCTTCTAAACTATACCCACAAAAAGCCCCTAAGTTACTACTTCAGTTTTGGTGGCAAGGCAAGAGAAATAATATGAGGGATTAACTCAGTTGTCAGAATAATGAAGTATCTGAAAAAGATAAGACAGTGAGGACTCTCGTAACTTCTATAATAGTAACTCTAGTGGTCTCTAGGTTTTGCAACTTAAGAGTTGGCGTAAAAACAGGCAGAAGAGGAAAGAACTCTCCATTTCGCTACTGAGTCAGGTAGAGATACTATGTCCAAGTTTAATACATTGCTCTGGTGCAGAAAAAAATGAACAATGGGTAGGCTTTGCAGGCTAGTGGTTAAAGTAAACCAGATCCCACATGGCTGGCTGCACAGTTCAAATCTCAGCCCCATCAACTTGAAAGATATGTCAGGCGTGGGAGTGAGCATACCCCAAAATTCAACAGAATGGAAGAGTAGGGAATGGGCATGACTACACCCCAGTGTGGGGGTGCCTTCTCCCTCCCCCTCATTATGTCTATCTCTCTCTCTCTCTCTCTGGTGAGTGCAAAATCCCTTTAGCAATTTAAAAAAAAAAGAAGAAAAAAGTGAATGCCAGGTAACTGACTAATGAAACATATGAAACGTCTTTTGAACACGATCCACTCAATAATTACTATTTAGTTATTCTGTGGCTTCAGCCTCTACAAATCTAAAATTGACAATCACTTCTCCTCCATTCTCCTCTCAGGATTCTAGGCATGCATGCGCATGTGTCAACAATTTTTTGTTTTGCTGTAGGGCGTGTGTGATGGATGGAGAGAGACAAGGAGAGAGGGAGTGAGAAAGCACCCGCTAGTGGGGATAGCCATGCCCTAATCCTTTCTCTTACATTCTTCTCTTGGGATATTTGGGCACACATGCACATGCACTCGGCATGTTTTTTAAGTTGCCAGGTCTGGGCCTTGAACGACACAATCAGCCATGTGGGATCCAGCAGCCTTAACCTCCATGCCACCTGCTGGCTCATAGTAAAATATAAAAAATAATGTGGGGCCAGCAGGTGGCGTGTCCTATAGCAAATTAAATACTACTACTAATAATAAAATTCAATAAATCTTAAAAAAATATATTGGGCCAGCTCCCACATGGGCTGGCTACTGTTCAAATCATGGCCCTGGTGCCTTGAAAAACACAACAGGCTTATGTAAATGTATACCCCAAATCCCAAAAGGATGGAGAAATGGGGGAGAAGGGCTGGCTGCCACACCCCACTGGTTGGCGGGGGTGGGGGGGGTTCTTTCTCCCTCTTTTTCTGGTGAGTATGCATGCCCTCTAGAAACGGAGTCACTGAAAACTGACAGTCTGAGGGATTTAGGTCAGACCTATTGGGGCGGCTTTGGAGGGGAGTTACCTACTGAAAAGCAGAGATGTCCTATGCAGAGACAAGGAAGAGGAAGGATCGCTCTAATCCTGGGCAAAGGTGAGATGGACCTGCACTTAGGTCGACCATCTGGGAGTTGAGTGCCTTTAACTGCCACACCACTTGCTGACACCCTGGATTAAACCCCACTAGGATGGGTGTGAACCAAAAGATCAATGTAGACAAGGATGTAGAAAAATGGAAACGTTAATATCCTGTTGGTGGAAATGTGAAACGGCAGACACTGTGGAAAACATTTGGACAGTTCCTCACTAAGTTAAACATATAGTTACATGACCCAGAAATTTTACTCTTAGTGAACTGAAACATGTCCACACACAAATTTGTACACAGATATTCACAGCAGCATTAATTATAATAAACAAAGGTGGAAACAACCTGAATACTCATGGATAGACATGGATAAACAAAATGTGATACACTCATACAATGGAAAAATATTTCTTTAAATTTTTAAAGAGGGCATGAGTATCCACTGGGGGAGGGAAGTGAGAAAGTACCCCTCATGGCAAATGATCGTGCTGCTATACCTTTTCCTCCATTTCTCCCTTCTTTTAGGATTTTGGTACACACACAAACCCAGCATATTTACCAAGACACTGGATCAAGGACTCAAATCATGCGATTGGCCACATGGAATCCAGTCACCTTAACTACCACATCATAGGCTGGCCCTAAAATATTTAGCAATTAAAAGTTACGAAGCACTGACATATGCTACAATGTGGATGAACCTTGAAAATTGAGTTAAAGAGTCTAGCTGGAAAGACCATTTATTGCACAATTCCATTTATATGAACTGTCCAGAAATGGCAACACCACAGGCAGAAAAATAGAGTAGTAGCTGCCTAGGTTTGGGAGGATTGGGGGAAATGAGGAATAATTGCTAAAGACCACAGTCTATTCTGAATTGACTGGTAATGGTTGCACAACACTGTGAATATATTCAAATCATTGAATTGTACCCTTTAAATGGGTGAATTATTTTATGTAAATTACACTTCAATAAAACTGCTAAGAAAATAATAAGTTACCAGGATATAAACCTGAGGGTGATAAAGTCCCCATTTTTCAAGCCAGGGTCAACAGACCTCTGGGGAAAATAGATATATTCCAGATGGTGCAACAGAGCTCTATAACAATTCTGTATTTTTGTTTTGATGTCTATACAAAAAATTAACAATATCATACTTTGAGGCTCATCTGGATGACCACCTTATAACTAAACGGCCACATAATATCAGTACTCAAGTTTTGGTCTGTATTTACTACTGTATTGCCTCCAAGTACCATCACTTCTATTGCAGTTGGATAATAAAAGAAAGGAGGAAGAGAATATCTAAATGATATATTTGTACTACATAAAAGGTAAATGACAATACAGTATAGAAATTAAAGTATGAAAATAATTCAAATACAAAAATCTTGCTATTGCTTATAGTTATTAATTATAGGTATGGACTCAACAGAAGTAGGCAGCACTTTTATTTCAGCAAAATGTACTACTCAATATACTAAAGTCGGTTCAAATGGCATTTGGTTTTGTAGTTTCACTTCATTGCTTTCCTTTATGGTTGTGTAAGAACTGAGAATATTTTAAATGTTTTAAGCGCAGAGGTCTCTTTTAAATTGTTCTTCGTACAGGAAGAAATTTGCACATTACTCAAATCCAAGAAACATTGGATTATCATACCTTGGTGTTTTTTTTTTAAAGGTTTTTGCCATAGGGCATGTGAGCTTGCTGAAGAGAGACAGAGGGTGAACAGAGAGTGAGAAATCACCCCCCAGTGGGGATGGTCATGCTGCAACATCTCCTCCTCCATTTTACTCTTGGGATTTGGGGGTACATGCACACGTGCCTAGCATCATTTCAAGCTGCTGAATCTGGGACTCAAACCACAGTTGGCTATGTGAGAGTCCAGCACCTTAACTATCATGCCACTTGCTGGCCTCTTTTGGTTCTTTAGACAATTTCACTGGCATCTAGTCAAGATCTCAAACCAGGTTCTACAAATGAATCACATGTAATTTGGAAAATATAGGCTCACTGTCTTTTTTTGCCAATAAGTTATTTTTTTATTTATTTAGTCCAAGAAGTTTTTATATTGCACAAATGATCTTTTTTGGAAAGCCTGAATACATGAATTCTAGGTAAATTTTGATAAGATTTTTTTTAACAACTTCATTATTTTCCTAATTTTTTTAGAAAGTTTATTTCAGGATAAAGAGCATATACGCCGGGAGCATCCTTGACAGGATCTTGTCACACTGTGATCCCCTTCCTCTGGCTCCTCAGCTTGTCAGGATCCTGAGCACAGGTGCGCCTAGCATATTCTTATGTCCAGTAAAGATCCAAACCCATAGTCAGCCATGCCTCCAGCATTGCAGACCACCTCACTATCATCTGTACTACTGAGGATGGGCTTTCCTTTTTATTTAGGTTTTCAACTTCTGTCTCTTAGAGGAGGTATGGCTGGAAGGGGCACCAGATGATCTCAGGGGGCCTGGGCATTGGGACTTGGCAAACAAGCCCCTACCCCCATCACATTGCAGAGGTGACCCAAAGGAGCAGTTTGCACAGCAAGGCGCAGTGAAGGCCTCTATTTTCACAAGTCAAGTTAGACTGTACTTAGGGGCTCAGAGGGGTGGTCTTGTGCAGGGGTGAGAAGTTAGGGAAGATTCATCAAGGAGGAGCCACTAAGCTGAACCCTGTAGAATGAACAGGAATTTCTCAGGTGGAGAAGGGCCAGACAGCATTTCAGGCAGAGACAGCTATGTGTGCAAAGGCCTGGGGTGAAAGACCACATGACCTATTTACCTGACCCTTAAAATGGTGGGGGCTATACCTTGAAGAGAGGGGCTCACCTGTAGTAAATTGTCTGAGTCCCATGCCAGAAGGGGTCACTATCCCTTTTCCAGGTTTAGAGGCTAGGTGCTCTCCAGGCCTCAGAATGGAGAGTTGGGGTTGGGGATACCAAGTGAAGAAGGCCACCTTAGGGCTCTAACAAATGATAAAGTGGGGAGCTGGAGACAGACTCTGAGCTGGCCCAAGCTTTTGGGGCACTCACTTCAGGGTGGGTAGGTTTGAATTGGGGATGGTTTGGGCCAGTGAGCTCAGTTCCCAGGGAGACCAAGCTGGGCCTTCCCTTTTGACTAGCAGGCAGTGGGTAGTGCTCTGCAAGAACTTAGTCTCTGCAGTCCCACCGTCATGGCTTGTTCTCGCCAAGCCCATGTCCCCCAGGCTGACAAGAGGCCATGTCCACTGAACCCCAAGTGGGCTGTCTGGTCCCTCTGCAGTGTACAGGCAGGTGCACCAGGTTCTCCCCCCAAGGGGGGTCAGCAGCACATTCTGCCTATTTTATTAACCAGTTATTGAATGTGCCAGGATGGGTGTGCCTGGCCCTCTTGATCTTTCTTTTGGGGTGGGGGTGCTAGATTAGGTGGCAGTCCTGATTTCTTTGTGGGAGGAGCTAGCAGGTGGGGTAGATCTCAGCCTGGGCTGGTGCAAGGCACCTAGGGCTAGTCTCTCAGGGGACTCTCCCCAGGCCTCTGCAAAGGTCCAGGCTCCCCTCCCAAGATGGTGCCCATTGCCTATAGCCCCTCTCTGGACCTAAGACACAAGTCTTCATGCACCTGCTGCTCTTTGGGAGGTGGATGTCCATCCATCCTGATGGCAGGTGGGGTAGAGCTCAGCCTGGGCTGGTGCAAGGCACCTAGGGCTAGTCTCTCAGGGGACTCTCCCCAGGCCTCTGCAAAGGTCCAGGCTCCCCTCCCAAGATGGTGCCCATTGCCTATAGCCCCTCTCTGGACCTAAGACACAAGTCTTCATGCACCTGCTGCTCTTTGGGAGGTGGATGTCCATCCATCCTGATGCACAGATCTTTCTGCTTCATTTCTACCAAGAGTCTCTCCTTAGCAAAAATGTCCAGTAGTGGATCCTGGCATATGCTGGCTATTCTCTATGTACCAAAATTACTAAGAAGATCATTATTAATACTGTTTTCTGTACTTTACTAATTTCAAGATTATTTTTCCCTAAAAACCTGTAAATACAAATAATGAGATTTCAATTTTATATATAACTTGGATGAGGTCATCACACAAACTTTCATTTTCTTGTTTTTCTTTTTTAAAAAGTATGTATATAACCATTAAACTTTTGTTTTCTTCTCTGTTTAATTATTGTTGGGGTCTTATGCCTATTACCAGTTCAATAAATTTTAAAAGACAAATAGGAATGATAATCCAGCATGCAATGAAGCCAGCCTAATATTGTCCTTTTTCACTCATTCTTCTAAAGATATATCCTAATATCAGTTGATTAAAGAAGAAAATTATAAATTCTTTCTCTTAGGCATAATGTCGATATTTAAACTCATGGTAACTTAGTTTCTTACTGCAAAATGGATTTTAGAAATAAAATCCCAGAAACTTAAAAATTTTTTTTCTTACCTTTTGTCTTTTGACTTTCAGACTTCATCTATTTGTAGAAAATAGCTAGCTTACACTAAGATTTAACATTCATTAGCACAATGGGTCAGCAGATGGTGTGGAGGTTAAGGGAGCTAGAGCCCATGTAGTCGACTGTGCGATTCAAGTCCTGGACCCGCTGCCTTGAAAAACATACTGGATGGGATCAGCAGTTAGCGTAATGGCTATGTCGTTGGACTCCCACGTAGTCAACCGTGGTTCACGTCCCGGACCCGTTGGCTTAAACTCACGCCGGGCATGTGTGCGTGCGTGCCCAAGATCCCAAGAGGAGAATGGAGGAGAAGGGATTGCAGCGTGGCCATCCCCCCTGGGGGATGATTTCTCCCTTTCTGTCTCTCTGTCTGTCTGGCGAGCGCACGCGCCCTACAGCAAAAACCTCTCAAAAAAAAAAAAAAGAAAAACAAAAAAGAAAAACATGCTGGATTCACATGTGTGTACCAAAATCCTGAGAGAAGAATGGAGGAAAAGGCATTGCAGCGTGGCCATCCCTCCTGGAGAGTGGTTTCTCTCTCTCTCTCTCTCTCTGCCTCTCTCCAGCAAGCACATGTGCCCTATAGCAAATGAAAAAAAGCCATTAGAATGATAATGTGCAATGTTTGCCTATAATTTAAAACATTTTCTTTTATGTTAAGTTTTGGGAATGGGGCACTATAATGAAATTTACTTTCCGTAAATTAACATTAAATTCAGAGGAAAAAGACTAAAAGCACAAGATCCTGAGAGGAGAATGGAGGAGAAGGGATTGCAGTGTGGCCATCCCCCTGGGAGGTGATATCTTGCTTTCTGTCTTGGTTTGTCTCTGTCTTTCTGGCGAGTGCACATGCCCTATAGCAAAAAACAAACAAACACACACCACAAAAAATAAAAACCAAACAAACAAAAAACAAACCTGTCCACAAAAAAAGGAGAGAATTTTTGCTATGGGGAATGTGCATTCACCAGAGAGACAGAAAATGAAAAATCAATTCCCCCCCAGAGGGAATGGCCACACTGCAATCCTTTCTCTTCCATTCTCCTCTCGGGATTTTGGACACAAAAGTATGCACACCTGACGTGAGTTTCAAGCCGCCAGGTCTGAACTTGAATGGCAGTTGACTTCGTGGAAGTCCAGCGACGTAACCATTATGCCATCTGTTGGTCCCAAGCTTAATTTATAATCTATAAAATGAGAACAGTAATACCTCCCTATAGCACTACTGTGAGATTTAAATAAAGGAGGTGAAAAATTCTTGTCCAATACCTTACACTATTTTGCTCAATTTCTTCTTTACCTGAAGTCATCATAAGTTGAGTACGAGAACTCTAAAAAAAGAAAGCTCTAGTTCACATAAAAACTCAGCTAAGGGACGATAGGTGGCATCGTGGTTAAGGCTCTGAACTCCCACATGGCAGATCACAGTTCAAGTCCTGGACCTAGCAGCTGGCTTTCTCTCTTTCTCTCTCTCTCTCTGAATACATGTGTACTATAGCAAACAAAATAATAATAATAAATTAAATAATAATATAAAAGACAATTAAAATACTATCACAAATCAATTACATCAGATCATTAATTCTAACTCTTGTCTAAGGACCTCTTTTTACTCTGAAAACTTACTGATGACTTCGATGAGCTTTATGTTTATATGGACTATATCTACTGATATTTACCATATTAGAATCTAAAAAAGAACGATTTAAATATGTATTAGTTTATTTAAAATAATAAAAACCCACTATAATATCCTTTTAATAAAAATAATTATT